GTTTCAGAATGACCAAAATGACAACCCTTAACCCTTAACCCTTAAAAACCAAGACCGGTGTTCAGAAGCTTCCTCATAATCACCATTCAGACAACTCCTAAGCATGAATGGAAAAACACACACACACACACATACACACCCTCCAGGCTCAAATGAACTCATACTTCCCAGTTATATAGTGTTCAGTGAACATTCCCACTATGGGCACCAAACTACAGCTTGACTAGTTTAAACTTGAACTCACTTACAGTTTCATTAATGAAGACATATTTATTGCTTTATAATAATAACCAAATTTAAAAAAAAAAAAAAAAATCTGCATGCTTTCCTTTTCTTTTAGAACAATAGAACAAATTGTATAAATGAACTTTAGACCTGCAGTGTAATGGCCACTTTTGGAGTTTTTTGGTAGTCTCATTCAAGTCACAGGGAGCATACTGTCATTTACTTGCAATTCCTTAAGAATTCTTATAAGATATGGTATTTTATATGATGTAAAAATATCTGGACAATACCTTTTGTTTCTTGTGGTTGTTTTTGTTTCAGACTGCTGTTATGAGCATTGTCCAAAACTTAGTGGACTTCTTACCGACACACTGTAGTCATATCAGAAGATGTTGCGTAGCGGAGCTTAGTAAGTGATGTACATTTGTGCTGCCAGGATTATTTTTCTTTTATGCTTTGAATCAAAGCGATCAAGCAATGCATTAGAAATGTTTAACAGTGTCTTTATTGTTTCAATTAAATGTTTCCCAGTTTGACAATTATTTTGGTAATTTATTGTGGAAACTATAATCACGACATTATACAGACTATTAACCGTGCAGCCCCCTTAAATCAGATTTCCAAGTCTCATTATGGGTGAAATAATGGAGAGGTAAAGCTATTGTTTTCAGTTCGAGATTTTAAAGCCTCTGTTTTGGCAGGCCATGTTGTTTCATAATACCCTTTAATGCGGCCTGTTGGGCAACAGAGGAGTCATAAATCTGCTGGGAAGGAGAACCAGAGCTTAAGCATCACAAAGCCTCAGCAAACACATTACATATTTGTATTAACCAGAAGGAAATGACCTCAAAAGTAAAGAAAACCAACTCAAAATCAGATGCAGAATTCAAAGGTACCCCAGTAAGGGTGGTAGACAGGATATTTATTTAAAAAATAGGACTCAAAACTGAACTGAGATATTTCCTATGACAAGGTTGGAAACCCAAATTGGAATATATGTATCAGGAGAGGTTGGCTGTCTCAGAAGTCAAGAGATTATAGCTGCAACAGTTAGTCAATTAATTGATTAGAGGACTGAAAATAACAGCAATACTGAATGAATTGGTTCGTTAAGTTTTGTAGACAAATGTGCTCTGGTTCCAGCTTTCTCAATACGAGGATTTGCTGTGTGTCTCTGTTTTATGATTGTAAACTGAATATCTTTTGACTTTTTTAGGAAGCCATCTTTGGGATGATGGTATCACTATTTTCTGGCATTAGGCCAGACGATTGATCGATTAATTCAGACATGGTTACTTTAAGGTCCAGTGTGTAACATTTAGGAGGATGTATTGGCAGAAATCGATTATAATAGCTAGGTATGTTTTCACGTCTGGACTGTTTGTGAAGGTTTGGGACTCACAGACTGGAGTCCAGAGCACTGCTTTTAATGTCAGTCGGTAAAAAGTCAAGCAAGTGAAATGTGAGCTATTTCTCAGCCTGTATTAGACATTGAAAGTATCTAACTACACCTCTATGGATTCTGGATGACCTCCAGTATTCTGTAGACACGGCTGAAACATATTGCTGTACAAAGTAAGTGGAAACTAGAGAGACACTGGAGCAACAATCTGTCAGTGGTAGGAGGGTTTGACCTTGGGGTTGAATGCAATTTTTAAATATGTAAAGGGGGCAAGGTCAACCTAAAATTCAGATTCTATTATTGATGGTTTTGATTTGTCAAATAAATACTAGTGCATGTAATTTGTCTGTCTACCAACAAAGTGGTATAATTATGTAACTGTTAACTCTAAATGCTGGATGACAAAAGAAAATGAATGACTCCAAACAAGCCAAAAAAATACATTTGCTGGAAAGATGGTCAGCAAAGATATTGGGGAAACTTTGAGTCAAGGATATTCATTAGTTGAGACTAACCACAAAGAATGCTATTTATAGTACTAAGAGGTTGTGATTAACCCACAATCAAAGACATTCAGCACACCAATACTTCAGAGTTATTGTACAGAGGGCAGATGGCGACCACGAGTTGTTTTGAAACAGTGTTATTAGCTAATTCTTCCTAATACTTTCCTGTGCAGTAATCGGTTGCAACACAGTGGGTTGAGGAACTATTTTTAATGACACATCAGTTTTTAAATGAGATGAAAGCGTAAAGTTGTATGTCACAACCACATCTGTCCAACTTGAACTTTACCACATCGAGGAAGGATGATGGAGAGTACAAATTGTTCTGCTTCGATCAGTTGTTTTCAGTTAAACATTCTGTTGCTATGTTACAGTGTACATACCCCCTGCCTTCTGTTCAGGGAATGTCGGTTAAGGGGCCGTTTAGATGTTGCGCCTGAAAACACGTGGCTGACACTGATTTCATCCTTCATCCAAGGTGCTCGGGAGGTTGCGCTACTGTCGCGCTTGTTGTTACTAAGCAACCAAAACCTGCAGGGCTGCATGACGATGAAGTAATCTAGCAGTAAGCTTCACTGACTTATTAAAAGTCAAAACAAAGATACATGGATAACCAGCACCCCTCGCAGTAGCTTTATTGCTTGATTTGTGAGTAGAAAAGAACAAAAAAGCATCTTCAGTTTGGCTGACCTTTCAACTGAGTGTTGGTAAGTCTTTGCACAGCAAGTCCGGTGGGTGCAATTGATTAATTGTTGTCACATGGCCTGTGGTGCACTTGGTATGTTCTAAAAAAATATATGTGTGTGTGTGTGTGTATATATATATTGAAGCAAAAAAAGATACCATTATAATTGATTGTATTAAAATGTACTTAACTTGCGAATAAATGTGATTTGATTTGATGATTACAAGATGTAGGCATACAGTGTCATTCCTAAGGAGATAAATATAATGCAGATTAGTGTAATATTGATTACAGATTATTATTATTATTATACTCCATTTCTTGCAGCTGTAAGTTTTTCTGTGATCAGTTTTAAGGTAACTAAGCTAGCCATGTCAATACAACATTCTAGGTAACTACTAATTTATTTAATTTAACTTATTTTAACTGTTCAGTTATTCATTTTACTCTGTGTACTGTAGTCTTGAGGCCTGTTAAGGATGTTATATGCTTATTTCACTGAATTACAGTACTGTACTTCCCATGGATGCTTAACGCTGGTCTTTCACTGGTGATGCGTTAGTCTTCTTGCTTTGCCAATTCATCCGATCCACTGACCATTATGACCGATATTTAGTAAAAATATGCATTCTGGAGATCGGAATTAATGCTTTCTAGTCGTACAAAAACCCGACGGAAAAAGCTTCATCAGATCTTCAGCTGAGTTGAGATCTGTCTGTCTGGAGAGTCAGGTCTGGACATTGTCTGGAGTTGCCCTTTCACACTAGGGTTTCCTACGGGTCTGGCAAGTACTTTAACAGTGCTTGGATTTAGCCCATTGGAATCTAAGGAACATAGACGATCGCCAGTCAGTATTGGCAGCAAACAAATGTGACCGCGGCATCTCTAATTTTTACAGTACCATTTTTCTTACTCTTGTTTGTAGTATCTCAACTGTTTATGTTTTGTAGTCATTATCATTAAAGTTGTGTTTTATCATGTACTTTTGCTTCCAGTAAAACCTTCAGCGGCCATACTCCGTCTTTAGCCTTCAGCGGAAGTGTGTTTGGCATGATCTTTGCATTACCTAGTAAACCCTTTCAGGCTGAGCAGTGATGTACCCATGAACAGTACACTGGTGGAGGGCAGATAACTGTGTGTTTGTCCCAACAACAGTGTTCTCGTTGTTTCAGCCATCAGCTACTGATCATATGAGAGCTGCTAATGATCTTATGCAAGCAAGGATTGGAGTGTGTGTGTGTGTGTGTGTGTGTGTGTTTGGAACAGTGTCATTTTCTCCTGTGGATCATGTGTTGTCATTTTTGTGTATTTCTCATTGCATGGTTTGTTCGTGGAAGGAGGACAGACACACAAACGCACACATCCATTGATAGATGAAATCATGCACACTGCAACTCCCAAAACAGCCGCTCAGACACACACATTTAACTTTTACATACACACTGTCTTCAGTCACTGCACTTGTGTATAAATTCCTGAAAAAGGTCAGATGTGATTTCAGCACGATTTGAATCTGACACGAGATGGGATGCTTTAGTGAAATGTCACCAATTTTTAACTGAATCCACATCCACAGACCAAGAGAGACTCAGGAAAGTGGGCGAGGAAAATCAAAATGGAGTGAAAGGGAAAGGATGCAGAGAGTGGCTGTAAAGGAGAGCAGTGGGTCGAGAGGGACAGAGACACATTGGGTAGGAGAGAGAGACTACAGCAGTGTATTCAAATGTTGTGGCCTGTCAGTTATTTTTAGGTCACATACATCCAGCCTGCTCAGCATGATAGAAACACACACACTAGTGCCACCTGCTGACAGTACATTGGGTGTGTAGACAGCTGTTAGGTGTGTGTGTGTGTGTTTGGAGTTGTATTTTTGTACTTTAGATGGAGCTTCTAGTCTTTGTGCTAAGCTAGGCAATGGACTGATCTAAGTACTGGACCCACAAAGATGGAACCTTTGCTTTCATTCTCATCTGACTCTGGGTAGAGTGTTCCTTTTAAAAGCCATGGCTATCTACAATCCCCAAATATTTAGGCCTCAGCCTAACCAAAGCCAACTGTCACAAGCCCAGTGTGGTTTTCATATAGTGCTGTCAGCAGGAAGGAAGGAAGACTGTACGAATGTCCGTCCAAAGGAAATATGCTCATGTATAATAAAATAATTTCTATATCTTTGTCTCTGCAGGGTGATTGAATTCATCCACTCTGTGCTGTGTTGGAGCTGGACTGAGCAGTGTTAGCAGACCAAAGGTAAACAGCATTAAACCATTTTTATCATTTCATAGCTCACTGTCACATGGAAAGTTCTGTTCTGTGTTTATTTGCTAGTCTGTGCTTGATTCTTCTCAATATATGGCCAAATGTATGCTGGCCTTTTGGGTACTTCTTGCCTGGGGCTGTTTGGATTGGTTTTGGCTACGCTCCTCAGTTCCAATGAAGACAAGTCTTAATGATACAACATAGAATTATACACCGTGTATTTGGTCCCTAATTGGCAGAGTAAAAGACACTTTTTTTCTACCAAATCAACTCTGGTTGAAACCTTGGTGCTACTTAGTGAACCAGCCTGTGTTTCCACCAGTTTTAAGCAGAACCATTGTAAGCAGGGATGGATCATCAACAAAGTGTGCTGCACAATGCACAATGACCTATAGAATATGACAAACCCACTTTGGTTCCAAGCCATTTTTTTGGTTCCAGTTGGGAACCAACTTTTTGGGTTCTGAACCAGTTTATTTGTTTTTTTGTAATGCTCCAAACGCCAAAAATACAAACTACCCTTGTTTCAACATGGCAATGCCCCCTGTGCAAAAAAGCCTGGTCCATAAATAAATGTTTTTCCCACTTTGGTGTGAAAGTACTTGATCTGCCAGCACAGAGCTTGTGCATTGACCCCATCCAACATCTTGATGAACTGGCATGCAGACTAAAGCCAGACATTATCACTCAACATCAGTGGCTGAACATGCTAATGTTCTTGTGGCTGAATGGGAGCAAATCCCTGCAGCAAGAAAAATCACATGGAAAGCCTGAAACCAGTGCAGGCATAGATTAATGCCCATAGTTCGGGAATGAGATGTTCAACAGTCATGTAAAGTATGGGTATAATGTCTTGGTTGTAATCTTATTTTAACTGGTCTTTGGTATCTGGAAAGGTTTTTGCTGACATTTGGTGCAGACACAGTGTGTAACATTTCTTATTATTATCCCACTGCGTTCATAGTTGAGGCGTACCCAAAGTACAGCATATAGTATTTTTCTATTACCATCTTGTATGTCCCTTATTCTGCTTTAATCCTTAAATATCTAACCAGTTGTAAAAAAAAAAAAAAAAAACAGGCCAGCACTGAACTGATGGTCAGAAAGCTATTTGGAGGTTTCCAAAATAAATGTTCCCGTAGTGAACATGACAATCATTCCCAGCCTCTTGTGGGCTTTTGTATTCTTTATACTTGTGTTTCATCCCAGTTGGCCTCAGTGGAAAACTGAATATCTCTGTGGCAAGAGGCTCCAGTGATTACCCACAGCCGACTCTTGAATGCCAGAATTTGAAATCTGTGGTCAGTGCAAACTAATTCCTGGATACTTAAGACAAAAGTCATGTCATGTCAAACTCAGTCTGCAAGAGTTTGGTATAAATAGTGGAAAGTGGCATGATACCCTTTGTGTGTAGGAGTAAAGTTTCTTTGCTGTCCCTAAAACAGCTTACTCTTAGCAATAGATATTGTAACCTCGTGCTTGCCAGTGAGCTTGTGCCAAGTTGTACCCAATGGTAAAAAATTCTGATAATGCTAAAAAAAAAATTAGCAGTGTTTAGATCTTAATTAAGATCGGCCACTTGCTTTTTAGATAATTTAGCAATGCTGAAAGAGTTTTTTTGTGAAGTGAAACCACCATCAGTGCTCACAAGGCTATTGAAACAGTAGCATGGATCAACGTTATATTTCAAAGTCAGATAGGCACCGATATTATAAACGAAAACGTAATGGTGACAAAATTATTGCTTTAAATGTGAAGTACCTAACCCTAACCCTAACTTGCATGCACTTGTGTAAAATGACTTAAGTTTATTTCCTTAGAGTTGCCAGGTTGAATCCAAGAACTGAGTTGATAAATTGATAATAAAAAAGACCAACACCTATACCCATGTGATACCCACACACGTATAAATCTGCCTCGACAAGTCGACTTTTAGGTGTTCAGTGTGGACTAGCTGCTTTGCAGGCATGCTGAGCTCTAGTGTAACTGGGCAGAACATTAAATAATATATTTCTCATAATTGTTGGTGAGGTGTATTAAAGAAAAAACATCCACAGTGGCGAAAACTATAGATAAGAAATGCCATACCACCAAACTACAGAGCAGCTTCTTACCTCAGGCTGTGCTGCTCAATTCATCCTCCACACTCCACCATATATATGTTTTTGTTGTTTTGTTTGTATTGTTTTGTGAGTTGTGAGCTTGTAAGAAGCCCTTTAACACAGAGTGACAAATTAAGTAGTGAAGTTATATACTGTGTGTGTGTGTGAGAAGAGAGAGGAGGTTTGGCAACACTTAGTTGGGAATGTTGGTTTTTCTGTGGAGATCAGACAGTTTGTTCAGTTCAGAAAGTTAAAGGAAAAGAGTGTGTGTGTGCTTGTGTGTGTGTGTGGGATGCTGCCCTGTTATTCAGTTTTGTTGTTAGTTTCGCTGCACACACAGCTGCACAAACTGCTCCGCTCGTGATGTACTAATGATCATATCAAAGTGTTGTGTGCATACATATAAATATACACACTATAGATACACACTGTGTGGTTGTGGGAGTGCCACATTTGTAAAGGAGTGGCTCATGTTTCTATGTTTATTATAAGGAGCTGGATGGGTTTGGCAACATATAGCAAGGTAAAAATATATAGAGTAATGTCTAATCATGATAAAATTGAATTTGACTGAAGCTGAGGACATTAGTGGAGCAGCATATGTACAGGCTTTTTTAAGAATGATACTTATTGCTGTATTGTGGGCCATGCTACAGTTGCAGCATAGCTGATGGCAATGTCCATAGTGGAGTATTTAAACTTTAGCTTGGATTGCCATGGGATTTGGGACAATTGTCCTCAACAATAAGGAAACCCTAGTTTTTTCTGTCCAATATAAATTCAAATTCACATTTGTACAATCATTAACAGTCTCATGACTGTTTGCAAACCATTCCTCTCTTTTGTGGATCAGTTTACACAAAAAAAAAAGCTACAACATAGCTTCTCTCCAGTTCTGTTCCCTCAAAGGTCAGCACCGTCAAGACAGTTTGCTATCTGTCAATGGCGCAAATTGCATTTGAAAGTTCACCAAAGATGAACTTGACCTGAAAAATTCCAGCAGATTCATTTCACTTCTTGCAAGAAAATCCACCTATTGGGATATCTCCACTGACATGAACTGATTTTGGCTGAAATTGTATTGTTTTTAAATGTTCGTGTGACTTTAGGCAGAAAAAGATAAGGGTAGCTGTCGAGTAAATCTCTTCAGGCTTGCTACCTATAAAATCGCTAACAGTATATATAATTGACAGAACTTCCGGGTCTTTGAAGTGAAGCCTAAACTAAATTTTATGCAATGGCCAGCAGGGGGAGCTGCAAAAACAAGAGTGATAGTGTGGAGGCTCAAGGAGAATTGACCCAACTTCTCACTTGATTTATGAGCTCAGTAAACAGTTTCCTTATGAATTTATGGTCTCAATATCTAATTTTAGTCTTCTTCCATACAGCATTGATGTTTCATTTAGTAAATGATGCTCCCTTTACAGCTAAAATAGACCATAAAGTAGGGTATGCTTTAGGGCGTGGCTACCTTGTGATTGACAGGTCACTCTCAGTGAGTCCTTTCAGCTCACGAACCAAACTCACTGTCAACTGTCAAACTAGGCAGTGCTGATCAGATATGAATCGGGATTCTGTTACTGCGTTGCCTTGACACTTCCAGCCGGCTTGTGTGTGTATGGGGGGAGATGTTTTGAGCTACAGGAGCAATCTGACAGCAAGGGTGACTCTCCCACACCATACCCAACTTTGTTACATTCATGGTAAATCCATTCAGCTACACTAGAATCAACTTCCTGCTGCCTCTTGTTTGTTTCTTTTGGAGCAAAAATAGAAGTCATTTGTTCTGTCCCTTAATCGGGAACACACCACTGTGTGTGTGTGTGTGTGTGTGTGTGTGTTTCAGTATCACATTACACAGCAGCTGAGTACCCCAGGGATCTGCTGGCTCCAGCCTTGGGGCTCAAATACACACACACACACGCACACACACAATGGAGCATAATTTGGGCCACGTTGCATGAATACATGCTTACATACATTTGTGTATCTCCTTTCTTAAAAAAGAAATAAATACTCATGCCAAGGCAGTGCACAGAAAAACCAAAAACGCTGTGTAGCCCAAATGAATACAATCTAGAACACTACAACCAGCTACTGATAACTACCTTTGCGCCTAGTGTAATCTCATCTCTGTGTGTATTAAGTCAGTTTAGTTATATCCCAGCAATGACAGAAAACAAAGAGAAACACACTAGATTAAGGATTCAGAATATGACTCAGTGTAGGTCAGCAGGGCAGGTATATGGTAATATGAAGTATTTAGAGTCATATACAGCACAGTATATCTGAGCGGAGTAAAATAAGAGCGTGCAGTCTCCACCTCCCACCTTTTCTCTGTACTTGTTTCCCTTCCTTGTATTGAGAGACGGAGGCAGATGTCGATACGAGGCAGAAAAACAGAAAGGAAATGATGTAATCCCTCCTGTTGGTCTCAGGGGAAGTGATATCATTGTTGCTGGATCAGCAGGCAGCTTCTCGTTCGTCCTCTGCTTCCTCTGCCTCTCTCTTTTGGTCTTCCTGTGTGATACATGAACAATGTTCATGCAAAAACTACACTGTCCTGAATTACATAAGGGACAAAGTATAAAAACATGATTATGGTTTTATCTAATTTACTAAAGAAACTGCTGTATACTTGACATTTAGGTTTTTCAGTGTCATTTTCGTCCCTATATTGAGTCATCAATAGAAATTGAAGTGGGTTTGAAAGGATGTGCAGTGAGAAGTGAGTTTGAGAGGTGAGTTAGAGAGGTTAACAAAGTCTGACAGCTGTAGCAGAGCTGCCCCCTAAAATTAGATCTGAATCTACAAGTCAAATGTCAGAATCTCAGTCAAAACTTCAGACTATTTAGGTTTGTTTTGCCTAGTTTTGTCCTAAAATGATGT